GAGATATTCCCAAAAACATGGTTTTAACCCCCAACTTCGAGGGCTATTTTCACCCCTTCAATGTGAACGATGGCCGCTAAAAAAAAATACGTGTCAAATATTTTTTTGAGAACTATCTTTCACATAAGTTTCATTAAAATCGGTGTGTCGCGGTTCGATACGTTTCCTTGTTAGATGGTAATTTGAAGATCACGTGAACATTATCTTCAGTTTCTGAAATAGCACCCCCCATTTTTTATTGCATATGTAGTCCTTTTAGCACGCTTTCAAAACACTACTGTTTGTTTTTGGTAGAAGTCATTCACATGATATGACGTTACATTTGGGTTGATATTCTACAATTTTGATCTGAAACACTTTTCCATAATTAAAGCCGTTTTCGAAATAGAAGCGTAAGGTTGGACATTAGGAAGATCCTGTATACACCAGTGCTCTAAAACGGAGACGCGTTTGAGATTCAAAAGTGAAATGCCCATGTGTTCCGGAGGGCAGACAGTAGGCAGGGTCGAAGACAACTAGAAACAAGTAGAATGACCTTTGTGTCTCGTGCTGACGGGAAATTCGAAGGCGGTCGCTGGAAACGGCAGAAATGAAATCTTTTGTCACCTTGTTTCCGGTCAGAAGGTCTCGAATGTAACGAGCTGAACTGACTCGGAAGTCACGACTAACACTAGGAAAAATGAGATAATTTCGTGAAATTACGAGGCTTCCCATCCACGCTGAAGAAGTTGCTGACAGAAATAATGCGACAGCTTGTGCATAATGAGGAAAATTTAGTGAAAATAGACGAACTTCCTGTAAAGATGTATGTCTCATAATTGAAGACATAAACCGTTTTATAATTCTACATCCTTTTTGCAACGTCATGAAATTTTCCTAGTTACAGAAATTTAATCAGATTTTTAGGTTATGGCAGAATATTTTATTTATTTAATCGATACACTGTGTATTGGTGATGTGCGTTGGGTCAGTTCAATATATTAACACGTTAATAGTGTATGTTTGTTTTTGTGTGTACATGTATAGGTGTAATTAGATTCTTGGAAAAATTTTTAAAAATTTCAGAGTTTATACAAATTTTAATATTTGAGAGTTACGGAATTTAAAGAATTAGTGTTTGAGAAATTTGGAAGCAATGAAATTTTAAAATTTTGAAAATTGACAAGCAGTCAAATTTGGAAATTTGAAGATTGGTCTTGTACGAATTAGAACATTTCGAAATTCGGGAATTTTCAAAATTGGGAGATTGTACATTTTTTAATTTGGGTATTGGACAAAATTGTGATTTGGAAATTTAAAAATACGAATGTTTAGAGATTTAAAAATGAATGAACATGGAAATTTGAAAATATAGTCTTGTAGAATTAGGAAATTTCGGAAGAAAATTCAGTCTTGTAGAATTAAAAATTGAAAAATGTAGTAGTGTAGAAATTTAGAAATATAAAAGTTTAGAGATTTATAAATTTAAAAGTCCAGGTTTAAGAATTAAAGAATTTGAAAATTTTAACGTTTGATTTTTAATAAATAAAGAAACGGAATTTTTAAATTTTAGAATTTTAGAATTGAGAAAATTAGAAATTTCGCAATTTCAATCAACTTATTTGAAAATTCCATACTGTTACTTATAATATATAGTTTAATAAAAAAAAAATTTTACTAATCAGAAGGATAAATTGAATAGCGATAATTCCCATCATCCTCTTTAATAATTACATTTGTACAAATGTTTCCCATGAATCTTTCTGGCAAGGAATGCTTGACACCAGGGCGTCTTATGAAAGGATTTTATAGAAACGCAGCATAACGCTCGAGATGAGACGTTCAGGGCCCTTTTCTGAACCAAGAACGATGAAATTCTCTTTCATCCTGTAACACTTAATCTTCGTCAACTACAGTTTCATTTAATCTTCAATCCATCACACTTTGTACAACCTTTAATATTCAGATTTATTTAAAAATGCAATCAAAATACTTAATCGTTCAATTTCTTATCATTTTCTTTCTAACAAGTTTGCAATTTTTATTATTATTTAAATAAATTAGCACATAGAATGTAATGCTATATAATTTAATATGACGATTCTAATATTACATTAAACTTCAGTTGTGAAAGTGTGAGAGTAGGGTCAATGCTAGGCCAGATGCGTCATTAGTGACCTAAAAGCTTCGATTAAAATTACACATTCAAATTTTTTAACCTAAAATATACATGTATTGAACAAATCATATCTTTATAATAATATCTTTAAATAAATTAGATTCAATAGAAATAATACTCCAAAAACGAAAATGAATAAAATCCAAAATTAAATAAAAATGTTTGTTGTCAGCGATTCATCTTTCAAGGGTTGATAATTTAATTTTAAATGGCGAGGTCAGAAATAAAAATGCGATCCATATATTACTTTTTGAAGGGAACTTCTTTCATCCGGTACAAATCTGTAATATTTAAATAAAAATGTTCATATAAATCCTGTTTATTATTTTATAAATATACTAAAAATAAAAAATGCAACGATTTTTAGTCTCGTAGTTCTCGTAAAATAAATACGTAAACACTGTGCTAAAAATGAGAGTTTAAACAGGGATAACCCTTTAAGTGAACTATAACTTTATTTAACGAGCAAACCGTGCAATTGTTAGTAGTCTAACGAATGAAATTGCTAATTACAATCACAAATAGCTATACGAGTTGCTCGCAAGTTTGTCGAGTATTGCAGCATGCCGGCCTCCGTTGTTTTCATCCTCTCCTGGACCTCCTCTCGAATTACATCCCCCTATTCCCGTCTTTATCCCGCTGTCGCGATTCTGGCTTCCTATTCTCTGCAGACCCTCTTACAAGTACCACGGTATACTGCACTCATAGATATGCAAATCCTTGAGAGCCGAGCATGAAAACCGGCCTAGCTTTAGAATATCTGCTTAGATGAACCTCAAAATTTCGTTGTGCGTGTGTACGATTAACGTTCTGACGCTGGACGGAGACCTTTGTGCTTCGCAATTTACATTTGGACAACGAAAATAGACAAAAGTGTTAAAAATGAGTAAATAAATAAATAAATAAATATAATAGTCAGAAGAAATACGGAATAATAATGTAGTAGCGAAAATAGAAGTGCACTCTGTTCACGTTAACTAAAATCGAAACATTGTATTTAATAAATTATATCATATCAACTTCATAACTGTGAACCTCGACGGTTTATGTAAATTTATTCCAATACCTCGATCCTGATAAATGTATTGGATTGAAGTCTCTTCAAATCCTAGCTGAAAACTGTTTGTATACCGACCATCATTCTCCCTACATACGCGTTTTACTGTGACTTTCATACACCTTTTCATAAACCAATTTCTCCTTCGTCGATTCAGAAGCGAATAAACTCTCGCTGCATCTCTTACTTCGTGAAAATAAAACAAGTTCAATAAATAAAATATTTATTACAACGAAACCGTGGCTCGTAAAAAGATACACACCCGTAAATTTCAAGTGCCTCTTCAAGTTAGCGTTACCTTTTGCTCGTAAACCCGAAACGGAAAAAAATCCAGTAACAATTTCATTGAAACCACCCAATCGTTCCAAAATGTCTGACCGTTTTTTCAAGCACGCCATTCAATTCGCATATCTTCGGTCGGATCGATAGTGCGAGTGAAAAAAGGCAGTGTCAAATACAGGATGTTGAACTGAAGAGTTCTCATGCGCGATTACGATCAAATTCGTTTCGATCGCCATCGTTTTGATGCCTTTCGCCGCCATTTCATCCCAGGTCTTCCATTTTGGATTTCAAGAAACTGGAAATCGAACTCGACCCTTTCTACTACTTCTTTCCTCTTAAAAAAGAAAGTAGCTTCGGTGGTAAGTTCGTTTCGCCCTCCGAGATTTCTTCCATGACGCGATCGTTCCATGGTAGTTTCCAATTGGCGACGGGTTGGCCGTCGAATCGGGGGTAAAGGTGCCGGAAGCGACGAGTGGAATGCAGCCACGAAAGGACGGCGAAGGGTGGAGGGCCTGTTGCTCGACCTTTGTTTTCCACGAACAAATAAACGCGACCCTCGCTCGATACCGTCGCCGCGAATCGACATTTCGCTAGTTTTCAACCTCACCCTGCTAACCCCCGTCGACCTGTCTGCCCTGTACTCGAGCCAACGCTCGTTCTTCGTGCCAAGTCTCATCGTCTGCCTCTGGAAAAAAAACGGGCTATGGAAAAGGGATTCCAATTTTCCCATATCTCGCCGCACCCTTTCCTACTGACTGATGAAAACTCCTGGCCTTATTTGATGACAAATAACGTAAGCATGTGTGTGCACGTCTGTATGCGTTGCGGAACTTATCGATGAATCCAAATCGCTCTGGGTCGAAATTTTATGACGGTGTGAAAACGTAGATCTAAATTGAATGGGGACTTTTCTTGAAAATTATGAGACGTTTTGAATTTTATGCGTTTATTGTGATAAATATCATAACTTTTATATAGTATTGAGTAGTTATAAAATTATTTATGCAGAAGTACTTACAAAAGTACTTGTAGAATGAACTTTGTTTTCCTGTTTGTGCAGAAATACGACTTTGTACTAATAAAAAGATATAGTAGGCCATTGATCCTGATGAAATTTTTTGTCGTGAATTTAGTACAAAAGCTGAAAAAACTATATTTAATCGATTTTATCAGTACTCGTTATTTAGGAAGATATTTAATATTTAATCCTTCGATTTTCAGAAATATGCTCTGCATAAACATTACAACCCCTTATGTTTTCAATGATCTGATTTTTCGGTAGGAGATCAGGATTAGTATTCCTTAAAAATTAATTCATAGTATGATTGATATATTAACGTAAATATTAAATTAGTTTTCATGAAACTTGATTTTCAGACGTGTCGTAAATATACAAGCCGTATTCTCTATATTCATGTCAATTGAGTTTGATAAGTAAATAAATTCAAAAAGTTACCTCTTCATTTGTGGTATACATATTACATTCGTAAGAATTGTTTATAGGAGTTAAAAAGTGCAATGTCTCGTGGAAAAGGACTTTCAGATAGAGAAAACGCCATGATCGATGCTTTTCACATTGAATGCAAAAGTTACAGTTATTTTAAACCAATCAAGTTAAAATATAGAACAAATCATGTAAAACAAAAGATACTCTTGTTGATTGTGTTAGTAAAAGACGTAATCACGGCAAAAAAAAACGTACAAGTCACCCTCTAAAAGTGTTTTCTTGAGAAAAACACCAACCTTTAGAAGTAACTTTTAACTTTACAGAGTCATTGGTTCGATTGTGAGATGATTGACAATTAAATGTTGCAAAAATTACCATTCATCAGTGATGGCTCGCATATACCACGGAACTGAAATACGCTCTAGTTCCACTTAATACTATCGATAACATTTAATATAATAAGTCCATTTTTCTTTACTTCTTTCTTTATATTCTTTATATAGTAAAGATTCAATATGGACGAATGTTTGTTCCTTTTATACAATTTTAAAGGAAAGACTAACAATTTTTTGTAGCAATACAATTTTAGCTACTAAAACTATTATAACATCTTTGGACATTGTTAGGATGAAAATGATACGAATAAAAAAGGAATATAAATCAGCCAGAGTTTTATTCGCTAAAGCAAACACAAGTACAGATTGATAAAATGTTAGTAAAAATATTGACTTTGCAAAAAACAAATGTTTTTTAGTTGCTATTTTTTTGTTAGTTATATTTAATCACGAGAAAAAATTCAATCTAGATGGTCCTTACGGTTTTAACTCGTATTTGTACGGTATACAAAAAGGTTTGAAATGTTTTTTGAAACGCAATTTTGGGTGTGGCTAGGTTATGATTTAGGTGTATTTCTCAGTTCATAGAAAAACCTTCATAGCATTCATTTTCCACAAAATAAACAGTAATAATTCTACCGATACATTAGAGAATTATTTGAAGTCATATTGAGCAGAATATCACAATGAAAATTTAATTTTCATACAGTATAGTGTATCGATTTATAAATCTGCATATACATTGAAATGATTTGCCACAAATAACACTTTATAATTATATTAGCTTGCATGATGAGCTGAAGTCAGTCCTGTAAAAAATTTATGGGAAATATTGATAGTAACGATTTTTTCAAGTAGTGCATATTGAAGTATAGATAAATTAAAACTTGGAATACCTGACATATGGGGCAATGCTGGAGAAATTAAAAAAACTTACTTAATTACCTTTCATATAAATCAGCTGAATATTTATGGCATGCGCCTCCTTTACAAAATTTGTTATATATGTAATATTTTATTTAATTTATTATTTGTTGTCACTCTATGTATTAGTATTCAAAGAATATTGGCCAAAATTCAGCCAAAAATTCAGTTCAATAAAAACAAAACGGATTTGTACGTTTCTAGCAACGTGCTACATTAAAATCCGTGAAAAGAATGATAGCGAAAGGTGTCTTTACTTTAGAAACGAAGCAAAAAGATTGGTTATGGAGTAATTCCACTCGTAATAAATCCCTTTAAAATGCAGAAATGGCCGCTTTAACTCCGGTTGTTGGATCATCGAGAGAAACAGGCACAGCGGTATACAGCGTTCGAAGGGATTTAATATTTTCCTTTCAGCAAAAGATCCGGCCGCTTTTTTGCCTCGCGATCTGCACCGTTCATAGACGAAGCATTTTCTCGTTCTCGACATCTCGTGCCTTTTGTTTTGTCCGTCTCGAGCTCGAACCAAACGTCTTCGTTCTCGCCTTTTGTGCCCTCCGTCCTCTACTCACCCCCGGACTCGACGTTTCGCCAGCTTTTACTCACCGGCTTCCATCTTTACCTCGTTGCGACTTCCCGCGGCACTTTTTCCCTTTTCAACGAGAAGAAAAAACAGACAGGAAACGCGGCAAGAAGGCTCGTGTGATGCTAGCTACGCTTTCTTCTAGCGTGCCTTCAGAGACAGCTAGCTTGCCGCTTTCGTTTAACCGATAACCAGCCTCGAAAGCATCTACTCGTCTTTTGCGCTCGATTCATCACACTTTTTGCACGGATCGATGTCAAACGACTACGTCCATCGGACCTGTGATGTACCTTCAGCTTTTTGCGAGGTGATTGCAGTACGACAACTACAATCTCGTGTTGACAATCACAAAAAAATAGTGAAGGAGAGAGGGAATTAGGCGATTACGGTTCTTATTCTTATTCTTGTGACAAATACGGTAGAGTTGATACAAATTAAACGCTAGTCATTCTTCTTGAAATGCTAAAAGTATAATAATAGAGGAGTACAGAAGTGTAATAATACAATTTGTAAAACATTCAGTTGGTCTACAGAGGTTTTACTGGACCGAAAAAAATAAAAGAATAGAAGAGTAAAGCTGGATTAAGTGCGCACAGAAGTGTTTGTAGGCATAGGTGTTCACGCTGTTCAACATGAAATTTTTTTTAATTATGGAGATTTTAAATTTTCATATTTAGAAATTTGGAAATTTTTAAGCTTAGTATAAAAATATGGAAATGTTGAATTGTTAAATTTTTGTACTTAGAAATTTGAATTGCAAAGTTGAAAGTTTCATGCTTCCGAACTTCCACGGTTTTGAAATTCTAAATTTTGAAATATTCAAGATAGCTGAAAATGTTAAATGACCGTATTTCCATGCTATTATAATTTGAGGAATTTGAGATAGAGTGTGATTGTAATAAGCTGTTGTCGATGTAAAAATAGCCTTTATTATTCCACAAGGAATGCTTTTTACAAGAAAAGGTCCTAACCAACCATTATCGCCTTTGCTGCTGAGAAACAAAAGAATGAAAGACGTTCCAATTTCAGGGCATCTTACAGATGCCGCAATTCTAAAACATTCTTGAAAGAATGTAACGGAAATTGGAATCCGTCAAAAAATACTTCCAAGTTTCAAGTTTTTAAATATAGAAATTTAGAAAATCAAAATTATCGATAATTATAAACTTAATTATTTTGATATATTAAGAAGTTTTAAAATGAGTTAAATTGGAAACTAATGAATACGGAAATTTAAGAATATAATTTCAAGTTTTCAAATTGAGAAACTAACTATCCGTCAGTGTCCGCCAATGCGTATCATTTGCTCACCTTTCGTGGATAGAGTTATCCATCATTCACCTCGAATAGTGATTTATTCTTTAGTAATATCGAACATCCATCGTATTTTATATTCCACAAAAGTCCCGAATGCTTTTTTGTTTCTCCAGTTCCATTTTCTGACAGTGTAAAAACAAATACGGAGGATTTTGTTTCGATGTTTATCTTTCTCTACGAGCAATTTTTGCACCAATGAGAGAAATTCCAGATGGTTCACAGTGATATGACCGTATAATCGAATTGTTTTACCTGCAACTTCACGAATGTCTCCTGATAGACGAGTAACGTCGAAGTGGCCTGGAAGGAATACTGGAAAAAGGATCCTGCAGCCATTTCCGGAAATGGAGTTGCGGCAAAGAAAAATGGACAGTCTAGTTTAATGGGATTGTGTTATTTCATAGCTTCGACCCTAGTTACAAAGTTAGTTAGGACAGTCTACGACGATTTATCGATTTTTATTTAAGTATTTCGTTTATATCATCAAAACGAAATTATATGTACGAAATTTTCCTTTAAACGTTAATTTCGATTTATGAAATGGTCGGGATAGCTGAAATTGAAAGGATTCAAAATTAGTTCCGTTTCGCTGTACATATCATGTGTACTGAACTGAATATAGCATCATATATACAGAATCCGTTAATCAATATTCGAAATTAATTGCAATAATGAGAACTAATCAATCAATCAATATACGCTGTCGACCAAAAGTATGAGACCATTAGTTATGCAGGATAATTGGAAGGAAAATATAGACTGGATATAGATTAATAATGCTGTGTTTTTATTACATATATACAAACTTTTCGTCGATAAAACCATTAATCTTCTGTGCATAATAATAAATGATAAGATTATTTAAAATTGTCTTAAAAGATAAAATGTGTATGTACTATGATAAACAGTTCTTATTTATTGACAGAATCAGTGAGTAAATTTGAAGTATCTTAAATAATGTATTATGATAAACAATATAATTTTATTAGAACCTGTACTTAATATAAAAAAGGATGATATTATATGTACGATCGAAAGTTGAAAGTGAATAAAATAAAGGAAGAAAGTGATAAACGTTGATGAAACTGAATGAAGATTTTGATTAAACTGTATTCAGATTTCGATTAAGCTGTCAGTAAACAGAGTTCTTGGGAGCAATTTCTTCGAGTAATGGATCTTGCTACAATTTGTAAAATCAATTTCGTGTCTTCCTTTAAATACACATATATAATCTTGTCTTCCAGCATCCGTTCATTAAAGATGGGTACATCATTCGAACTAACTGTAGAAACTGAAGTTTCAGCTCCCGAAGTCATGAAACTATAAGTTTTCGATGTGCAGTTTTAATCGCTAATCGAAGAAGTAATATAGTCCCGAAACTTTTACCATTAATAATAAATTACTGACACATTTAGATCATAATATAATTATGCAGCAATTTCTGATAACTTCGCTTCAATTACCATATTTTCTGAATTCGAAAATATTTGTATAGTTCTTAACACAAGATGTAAGATTTTGGAGCTTTTAAATTTTAGGATAATGGAACTTTAGAAATTTAGAAGCTTGTGATTTTCAGATTTTTGAGATATCGGGACTTTGAGAGTTTGAGATTTTTGAATTTTTAAGATAAGTGAAGGGAGTTTAGGAACTTAGAATTTTTGGATTTTTAGATTTTTGGAATTTGGAATTTTGGAATATAAGAACTCTGGGAGTTTCGATGCTTGAGATGTTTAAATTTTTGAATTTCTGTAATTTGAAATTTATGGGGCCATAGAACTTGGAAACTATAAAATCATGAGATTTCGAAATTTTTTAATCTAGCAGTTTGGAAATGTTCAATTTTTAAATTTTGGAATTATGACACTATGAAATCTTAAAAATATTGAATTCTTAAATTTTGGGATTATAAGACTACATAACTTTGGAAAGTTTTAATTTTTGAACTTTGGTACAGTAAAATTACGAAACCTTAGAATCATCTAATTTTGGAATTATAGCGTTTCCTAATTTTATGACGTTGAAGCTATGGAAACATAAAATTTTAGAATGTTATGATTTTGAATCTTTAAATTATCAGAGTTCAAAACTTAGTAAATGTTCGTCTCCCTCATGAAGTCTTAGACTTCGTAATTCTGTAACTTCGTCCAGGAAATGATATACACATTACATTCAAGTGCGTCACAAAAGCTCTGAAGCAATAAAAGTTAAAAAAACCCTGTGTCATAAAGTACCAGGCTAACAATAGCTATTTCTACTAAAAGTACGAATGTGTCAATAAAATAAAATTGATTTCCCTTTCCACCCAAAAGAGCGCTAAACCCTGAACTCAATCACGAAACTTTGCTGCTTACGTAGGGGTCGTGACTTTTTCTCTAGCTGCATCTCTTTTTCGCGTTTCGTCAGCCCCTTCCGGTCGTTCCGTTTCCTTTTTATTTCGCCGGGGTACCCAGTGATTAGATGAAGTAGCGAGCACCGTGCAGAGGAATGGAAAGTTACGGAGGACGGAAGACTGCGAAGGGTCGAGGGGATGGTTGGATGATGAG